GCGACCGGGGGCCCTTTCAGCCCACAAGCCGACGCTCTATCCACTGAGCCAAACCGGTTTCGGCTAAATACTTTTATTTCAACTCCCCAAAACACAATACAATAACAAAACAAGTTTAAAAACAAGCAAAAACAAGAACTTGGCATTAATCTGAATTCTTGCTCCCCTGAAAGAATAATTACCACTTCTGGGACTTTTACAAAATCATCAAGTGTTCAAAAATCTAACATGTACCATACAAATTATTCATCAGTGTCATATTACTTAATAAGAAATGGAAAACAATAAGAAACTGAACTAAAAATTATAATCATACCTCACAGAACACTTAAAGGGCAGGACAAATTTGTATGAATTAATGAGAAAGGTGTCTGTAATTTACTGTTATGTGAAAAATCTCAGAAACAGAATAGTATGTTTCCAAAAATAGATTTATGAAAATAACACACACACACACACACACACACACACACACAGTATTTTAACTATCTGGAAGGACAATCACAATAGTAGTTATTCTGAATGTGAAATTATGTTGGATTTTCCAAATATAACATATCAATATTCAGTAAAAATAAATTCCCTTGAGAAAAAGAGTATATCAAATTTAAGCATGTTAAATAAAAATATTTGAACAGTTTACTTCATTTCCTACTAAAGGTTTTTTAAAAACTTTTAGTACTTGTTTTAAGTACTGGCATTTGCATAATGCAACCAAAGGTACTAGTAATAAGAATAAAAAGAGAATGATAGTCTGTCCCTACTATAGTGAATGTAATGAGGCCTCAAAAAGTGAAAATAAGTAAATCTATGGAAAAGACTATGAATGACTGTAAGTTTTCTTGTAGATAGATAAAGGAGGAACTGTGTGGTACAGAGAAATAGACTTAGGCCAGTGAAATGGACTCAGGGATATTAGTACTGGAGATGCAAGGCAATCCTTTGAGAGAGATGAGCCACTGTTTTTTTTTAACCTTTCTTCTCATTCAATTATCCTATCCTAGAGGCCCTATGCATGAAATTCGTTTAAGGGGGTCAGCCCCCACTGCCGTGGCTGCCTTGGTCCCTCCCCCACCCCCCACTGCCGCAGTGGCTGCCTCTGCTTTGGCCCCCACCCGCGATGATGGCCGTCTCTGCCTTGGCCCCTGCCCGCCATGGTGGCTGCCTCTGCTTCAGAACCGCTGCCACGGCTTCATCCAGAAGGATGTCTGGTCTAATTAGCATATTACCCTTTTATTAGTCCAGACAGCCCTCCAGACAAAGCCACAATGGCGGGGGCTGAGGCAAAGGCAGTTAGGGGAGACCAGGCCGGCAGGGGAGGGTGGTTAGGGGCCACCAAGCCGACAGGGGAGGGTGGTTAGGGGCGATCAGGAAGGCAAGGGAGCAGTTAGGGGCATCAGGCAGGCAGGTAGAGTGCTTAGGGGTAATTACGCAGGTGAACAGTTAGGAGCCAGCAGTCCCGGATTGCGAGAGGGATGTCCGACTGCCAGTTTAGGCCCAATCCCGCAGGGGTCAGGCCTAAATTGGCAGTTGGACTTCCCTCAAGGGGTCCCGCCCGGATTGGAGAGGGTGCACTGGGCCTCTAGTAGATAATAAAAGGCTAACATGAAAATTGACCAAATGGGGGAATGACCAGTCACTATGATGCACAATGACCACCAGGGGGCAGATGCTCAACACAGGAGCTGCTCCCTGGTGGTCAGTGCATTCCCACAGGGGAAGCGCTGCTCAGCAAGAAGCCAGGCTCATGGCTGGCGAGCACAGCAGTGGTGGCAGGAGCCTCTCCTGCCTCTGTGGCAGCACTAAGGCAGTCAGACATCCCCTGAGGGCTCCCGGACTGCAAGAGGGTGTAGACTAGGCTGAGGGACCCCCCCCCAAGTGCATGAATTTCGTGCATTGGGCTTCTGGTTTAATAAGTAAAAGCATAATGTTTTCCCCTCTAACACATCATCTAGTGCAGCAATTTTCAACCTTTTGCATCTCATGGCACACATAAATTAATTACTAAAATTCTGTAGCACACCAAAAATGTATTTTTTGCCAATCTGATAAAACAAAGTATAATTTTGATTTATTCAT